CTCCCCCAGGTCCCCTCCACCATGCAGCCCTCGCTCTAGTCTCCTGTGATGACAGAAATACCCAGTTACATCTCTCTTTTAGACGGTTCTCTCCCTCAATGAAGAGAATTTTGAACTAGAGATAAACAATGTATTCAAACTTTGTAAATAAATCAGAATAAACTTTTTTTAAAAAAAGTTAGACTCTTTTTCTGGAACCATCTCTCCAGCTTTAAAGAACGGTTCCACCTTTTGCTTTAGGAATAATCTTGGACAAATTATTTATTCTCTGTACTTCAGTTGTCAAAACTATGAAATCGGGGTAATAATATTTGCTGTTTAGAGTGTTTATGAGGATAAAGTGAGTTTGTTTATGAAACTATTTTCCAGGGTAGGAAATATATTCCTTTTTTTGTAAATAATTCTTTTTTATTGAGATTTTAATAAAGTGTATAGAGAAAAAAAAAGTTGGAAATCAGGTTGGGCAGGGTGAAAAGTGCAACAATGAATGAATGGAAATCCAAAGTCTCTGAAAATTTTCACTAAATAATAATTAAATAATAAAAAAAAAGTTGGGAATCAACATTTGATGGTATTCAAATCCATGGGGATTGAGGAAATAAACCAGAGAGAGGGCAGAAAAGAAGGACCCAGCCAGCCCTCTAAGTGTTTCCCACAAAAATGGCTGCATAACTCAAAGAAAGTATTAAGTGTTAGAAAATAATACATGTTTATGTTTTTCTGTAAATAGTGTCAACAACAACAATAAATGGTAGACAGTGTGATAATGGTGCAAGATAGGGCAAAGCTCTGATCTGCTGTTTATAGGGTTGCCATGAGTCTGGGGCTGGACAATGACTAAGGATGGCAGGAAAAGAATAAATGCCTTTGAGCTGTGATGCTGCAGAACAGCACTGAACATTCTATGAACTGCTAAGAGAACAAAAAGATCTGTGCTGGAGAGGGTCAACCAGGTTGTTCCTCACAGGCAAGGATTTTGAAACTGTCTCACAGGCTTTGGGCAAGGTGCCAGGAGGGACCAGTCCTTGGAAAAGGACATCATACTTGGAAGGGTGAAGGGTCAGCACAGGAAAGGAAGATCCTAGATCAGATGGATTGACACAGTGACTGTGGCAAAGGGGTCAGATGTGTAAGAAAGTGTGCGGGCAAGATTCAGAGCTATTGTTCATAGGGTTGTTATGAGATGTCCTGGATTTGACAGCACATAACAACATGAGTCCTAGTGGACTTGATAGTACCTAACAACAACAGCCTATAGTGACAGAAAGATGATCAGGGTTGCCTAAAGGGGGGCAGATTTACAAAAAAAACAGGAGACTTGTGTGGGTGATGATAATGTCTATTATCTTAATTGTGATAATTACATATGTGATACATACATGAAAAATGATCAAGATAAATACATTTTAAGTATGTGTTACTTATTATGTCAACTATACTTTAATATATTTATTTACAAAATTAAAGAGAATGGTGAGGACACTATCAAATTTCATAATTTACATAGCTTAGCTACAAGTCTATCAAAAAAGTAAAGCAGAAAGTTTAGTCCTTGCCTGAGCTACACATTTCAACGTCTTTCACCTGCAGACTAAAATGTAACTAGTCCTTCCCATCTCTACCTCACCCACCCCCACTTGGACTTCCAACCTGGGCCAGAGATTTCACATATGACATCAACACAAATAACCTACAAGAATGCTGGGCGAGAAAAACCACATCAGAGTGTGACTCGGCATTACTATTGCCTGAGAAGTGTACAAGTTATACTGAATATAGATGACCTGGAAGGGTCTTTTAAATTCAATGTCTTCTGAAAGGCTGCAGATAAGATGTTGGTGGCATACATAGTAAATAGCAAAGGCTGATGTCTATTCATAGATTCTGATCAAATACATACAATTTAAGGGATCCGTAGAAAGTATTTTCTGTACATGACGTTATCTTGGTTTTATAGGTTTATATCATATTTTTTTAATTCATGTACTAAAAAAAAAAGACACTAGAGAAACTTTGGGGTTCTTGCCACTAAAAATGTAGTTAAGCACTATGTAAGTTAACATAAGGGAGCTTTGGTAGCCTAGTGGACTGGGAACTGTGCTGCCAACACAAATGTGATTCAAATCCACCAGCTGTTCTGTGGGAGAAAAATGGATAATCTCCTCCCATGTGATTTACAGCCTCTGAAAACCTGTTGGAAGATGAGCTATGAGTCAGTTCTGACGTGATGGCAATGAGCTGTTGTTGAGTTGGTGTTATTATCAGAAATATTACTAAGATACTCTGACTTCATCCTTGTTCTAGGAATCTGGAACTGGACTGAAGAGAAAACAACTAAAATCAATCAAGAAATGGAGGCTTGAGAAGGACAAAAAGGACTGGCCTCTTGTAATAAATCTGTTTCCCTTTATGCCTGATGATCTTCAGACTCAGTTGCCCTGGGATTGGGTGGGTCCCTTTTGCAAGCATTATCTTTTAAACGTTGCCTGAAAATTCTACATTCCTTTCGCTCAGTTAATACTAGAGGCTTAAAACATACCTGAGTGTTCTTTATGGCTGACAAACTGATGAGAAGTTGATGAGAAAATTTCTAACACGACTGGTGGGAGGATGGGCAATTTCCTCTCAAGATATTAACTGCCTCTGAAAACCTGCTGGAGAATCAGCTATGGGTCAGTTCTGACTCTACGGTACACAATATGTCTAGTTCTTGGAGCTTCACAGACACTGAGAGTTCACAGAGTGTAGAAAGGGGCTCTTGGGCCATAGTGTGAGGCTGCAAAGCACTACATCTCTCTTGGTAATAAATCCTTTAGATCACACCCAAGCCCCTCCTTTTCTATGTGGGTGGTTACAGTTACATTTATTGGTAGGAATGACGTTACAAAAAGGTGTCCTAAGGATAAAAGAGTCTGGCAGCCCATTAGATTCTTAAATTACATCTCAAGAGACACTTGGAGGTACTGTGGAGATGATAAATGTTTACTAAAGGGGAAAGAATAGACCTGATGTTAATATTATTATAGTATTTAAATAAGTTAGAAAGATATGCACATGCATAGGAATATTTCACCAAATACAAAAGACATCAATAGCCTCAAGTGCATGTTGTTGTTGTTATGTGCCGTGGAGTCGCTTGCAACTCATAGCAACCCTGTGTACAACAGCCCTACACTCTGCTATGTCCTGTGCACTGTCTCTGACATTCCCATCCCGATTACCCCAGTCACTGAATCAATCCACCTCATAGAGGGCCTTTCCCTCCTGCGCTGTCCCTCCACCCTCCCAAGCATGATGTCCTTCTCCAAGGACCAGTAGGTGTTAAAAAAATGTACTAAAAAAATTTAAGAGATGATAGTTTCTTCTGTTACCTGTGTTCTTAACATATTTTCTTTAATTGTAATTGTAAATATTTATAGCATTTCCTTTTCCATAATGCCAGTGTATAATAACTCACTGCCATAGAACAAATTTCAACTCACAATAACCCTCAAAGCCATGAGTATTTTCAATTGTTTCCTATGCGTCTGAAAGTTGAACAGTGAATAAGGATGACAGATGAAGAGCCTTTGCTTTTGAATTGTGATACTGGAGAAGAGTACTGAATAACCCATGGACTGCAAAAAGAACAAGTTAATTTGCCCTAATGAAGTGCACTCAGGGTCCTCCTTGGAGGATAATGAAACTCAGTCCGTATATTTTGAGCATGTTGTCAGGAGGGGTCTGTCCTTAGAAAAAGATATTATGCTAGGAAAGTGGAGGGTTGGAATAACAGAAGGACATAGATTGGCACAGGGACTGTAACAATGGGCTCCAGCATATCAGAGGTGGTGGGGATGGTGCAAGATAGGGCAAGGTTTCCATCTGTTGTTGATAGGGTTGCTATCAGTCATAGTGGACTCAATGGAGTCTAATAACAACAACAAATGGGTTTCCAAGGTGTTAAATCTTTGAGGGAGAAAAGCCCATCTTTCCCCCACTGAGATGCCAACCTTTCAGTTAAGAGTGCAACACATTAAGTACTAGAGTTCCTGTGAATGAACAAAGTTCCTGACATTTTAACAACTGGATTCTATTTGCAAGTGCATGCACACTCCTGGTTTATGGGCATTTTCCAAGTTAACTTCTAACTTCATGAATCCATAATTGAAACAGAAGGTCCTGGAATTACTAAAACTTTACATATATTCTCCGAAACACTCTAAACAACTCTGTTGTTGTTTTTGTTGTTGTTGCTTGCTGTCGAGTTGAGCACGATTCATAGTGACCCTATGAACAAAAGGCTTGAAGACGTATTATAATTATCGTCATTTATAAAAATTCAGAGTTTCCAGAGGCATGCTTAGGAAGTGGATGCCACTCCTGCTTCCAATTAAACAACTCTACTAATTCACAAATGAAGACAGACAAGTAATTAGAGATTAAATCGTTTTTAAAAGAGGTTAAGTATTAGAAGGGGAGTTGGAGCACAAGCCTGACTCCAAAGCTGGGGATGAATCCTTAGGAAACCAACACGTGTATCTACAAATATTCCTACCATTTCCACTTGAAAAAGTCTAGCTTAGCCACTTCTACTCTGCCTACACTAGCTGTTCTGATGGGCAATCTCCACTCCTGTGATTAACTGCCTCTGAAAACCCGTGGAGGGTCTGCTATGGGAAAGTTAGGACTTTACACACAAGACACTTAAGAGTCCTATCTAGTAGCCTGAGGCCCAGGATAGCCAATTTAATCCTGAGCTACCAAACAAAGAGTGGGCAGCTAAAATCTACCTGATGACACTGTTTGTTCTACTTCTACATCTTCTGTGGGAGGGGGAAACTAGTTGGGGAAAAAAGCATTGAATCTGGCCTCCGAGAGACCAAAGAAAGAGATCATGGAGCATACACACGAACTTCGGCAATGAGCAGGCGCAACGCAAGGGCAAGGCTCAAGGGAGCCGGCGGGACACTGGGCGGGGACTGATGGCTTAGAGGGCGGGGCTCCGCTCCAGCCTCCTGTTCGCCCTAGGGTCGGGGTGAATCTGGTTTTAGCAATCGACACCCGTTTTTCGTTCTCCTCCGCTTTGGCGCTCTCCCGGAAGTGATCCCTGGCGCCTAGATCAGCAGGAGGTGTTGGGGGGATGGGTTAGAGCCAAACCACAGCCACTGCTATAAAGTCGATTCTAATTCATTCACAGCCACCCTCTAGGGCAGAGTACAACAGTGCTCCACTGGGTTTCCAATGATGTAATCTGTACGGAAGCCAACAGCTCCATCTTTCTCCCAGAACCCCTGGGGAGGTGGACTTTACAGTTAGCCGCTCGGGAGCCTTGGGGAAAATCAACCGGAAAGGAAAGGTCAAGACCAGAAGTCAGTGTGAATTGGCCCTCCCTCTGCGAAGGACTGTCAACCTGACCTCCCCTTCCCCGCCAGCGGCCCTTCGAGGACACTGCACTGCGCAGCCCCGCCTGGCCCCGCCCCCCGCCCGGCTCCAGACTGGCTAGCCTCCAGGATTTAAGTGGGCGAGCGGTCCCTGGAAAGCGAATTTGCCTTCTCTGCGGCAAAGGTGAAGGCGAGGAGTACCCGCAAGCCCTCCGCCGGTCTCGTTCCAGAGTCCCACGCTGCTCGGAGCCATGCTGAGGAGCTGTGCCGCGCGCCTGCGCACACTCGCCGTTCTGCCCGGCCCGCCGGCCGCGCGTCTGCCGGTGAGTGACTGGGGGAATGCTGTGCACGCCAGCTAGAGGCCGGGGTGCAAAGCAATGCTAGGTGATGAGAGGAGCGAGGCTTTCACAATCAGAAACAAGCCTAAGGATAACAAATGGGTTTATCCGTTAACTCAACCTGCCGTTCTCAGAATTAAAACTGACCAATCCAAGAGGCATCAGTTTGAACAGCTCTCTTCAGACTATTCAGGTATCTTGGTGACACAGTGGTTAAAGAATTGGCCTGCTAACTGAACGATTGGCTCCTCAGCCGGAGAGATTTGAGGAAGTCTGTTTCTGTAATAGTTGACAGCCTTGGAAATCCTGTGGGCAGCTGTGTAATTCTGTTCTGCCCTACAGGGTCTCTATGAGTAGGAATTGCCTTGAGGGCAGTAGGTTGGGTTTGGTTTCAGTCCTGAGATGCAAGATAAAACAAGCTGGAGAGCAGAGAACTATTATAAACTGTACGGACTCTAGCCAGGGAGATAAGACATGATACTATATGTAAAGTTGAAATGAATAAGGAAAGATTATACAGAAATTACATGTAGAGTTGGCATGGAATCCAAACCCAGGTAGTCGGGCACCTGCAGTCTAAGCTAGCTGTTACATTATACCTTCTCAAGAACACCACTTATTTCAGCTACTCAAACCGGATTTTCTCTGACTTGTCTTAGTTCTGAGAATGACAACCAGTTTGAAGTGAATAGAAGCCAAAAGATGCTTTTCCGTTATTTAGTCCCTCACTGAAACAGTTTCCTCAGGATTAAACATTGTTGTTGTTGTTGTTAAGTGCCATAGAGTCATAGGCGACTTATAACGACCCTATGAACTAAGGTCCTTAACACTTGCTTGACTTTCATCTTTTCTCCACGTTCATAGGGTTTCCCGAGGCAAGCTATTTACGGAAGTGGATGCCACTCCTGCTTCCAAGCTTGTTTTAATCGGGGAGCTCCACCAAACACTGTCCAACATTGTTTACAAGATTTAAATGAACTAATAAATAATACATATATCAAAAATTCCCAGTCAACCAATAGAGTAGATGGCAAACTCCTTAGTGACTCATTAGGACAGAGTCAAACTGCCTATAGAGTTTCCAAGGCTACGGAGCTTCATGGAAGCAGACCCATCACATCTTTTCTCCTGCGGAGCTGAGCGTGAGCTAGCAGCCAAGTGCTTGACTGCTTGCACTGTTAATGGCATCGAGTATTATACAAATTTTGCACATTCTTACGCCCTTAGTCAGTTGATTAAACCCCAACAGTATGCCAGACATTATTTAAAGATAAGAAAGGATCCATTCCTTCAGAGAGCTCATAGTCTGATTTCGGGGAAATGAGTGAAATTGAAAAATCAAAGCAAACACTAGGTACTAGAGGGAACATCTGTGTATGAGCAAGAACCGAAAACGGCCCTTTTGTAGTCTAGATGACTCTAGATGACTCTTGCTTTCCTGACCCACGAGCCTTGCCTCCCTGATGTGATGAATCCACCAGCTTGCTGTGCTGTGCAGGAGAAAGTTGGGCAAACTCTTCCTGCATTTCCAGTCTCAAATCCACTAGAGCCTGGTATGAGTCTCTTGAGAGATTAAGCTATTGTAGCTTTCTTTTTTTTAAGAATAAGGACTGTGAGTGAGCCACTAACTTGGCACCATCTTTCACATTGTTGAGATATACTGTTATGACAGTCTCACAACAACAAAGATGAATTTTGTTATTTTAATATTTGTATTTATAGCCTTTAAAAGTCGAGTTTCAGTTGCTTAAAAGGAAAAACAAGAAAGTTATAATTTAATAAGTCCCAGCTTATAAATAACTGGAGATCAAACAGACCTTTCTTCTACTCAGGGCAACAAAAGATAATTATTTCCTAATATCTCCTGTCCATGTTATTAGTTTATAGGTACCTTTAAAATGAGTTTCAAATGTATCTCAGCCCTCATCTTTCATTATTTTATTATCCACATCAATGTCCATTTGAAGTCTCAAACAGTCCCAGACTAGTTAATGCTTGATCTTTATTCTCTCTGAATGTGTGTGTTTGTGTATACACACCCCTACCTTTCCTCTTTTTCTTCTATCCATCCCAATTTTCAACTTTGCAATTCACCTGTTTTAGATTGTTGTCATACGTACAACGCCTAGTTGTAGATTCCTTTCAGACAGTTCTTTCCCTTATCTGTTCCAATGCAGAGTTCATTATCTACCCACTCTTTTCCTATTCTTCCCCCAAACCCCTATGTCAGTCCTATTTTATACCAGCAGTGTTATGCAGTATTTGTCCTTTTGTGGCTAAGATATTTCACTCAGCATAATGTCTTCCATGCTTACCCATGTTGTTTAATGCTTTACTAGTTCATTGTTTTGCAGTCCTGTGTAATATTCCATTATGTGAATGTACTATAATTTTTCTCACCATTCATTTGTTGATTAGGCACTTGAGTTGCTTCTTTCTCTTTGCTATTGTGAATTGTTGTTGTTGTTATGTGCCGTCCAGTCGCTTGCAACTCATAGCGACCCTATGAACAACAGCCCTAAACTCTGCTCTGTATTGTGCCAATCGCACTGTCTCTGACACTTCCATCCGGATAACCCCAGTCACCAAACCAGTCCACCTCATAGAGGGCCTTCCCCTCCTGCACTGTCCCTCCACCCTCCCCAGCATGATGTCCTTCTCCAAGGACCAGTCTCTTACAACATGTCCAAAGTATGTTAGACGGAGCCTCAGAATTCTTCCCTCCAAAGAGCCACCCGGTTTAACCCCTTTCCAGGATCAGTTTGTTTTCCTAGCAGTCCATGGTACTCTCAGTACTCTTCTCCAGCACCACAGCTCAAAGGCATAAATTCTCCTTCTGTCCTCCTTGGTCATTGACCAACTCTCTGATGCATAACAAGTGATTGTGAAGACCATAGGTGTGCATACATCTGTTTAGTGGCTCTATTTTCTTTAGGGTATATTCTCCTTAGTGTAATTGCTGAATCAAATGGTGTTCTATTCCCAACTTTTTGAGAACATACCAGGCCCCCTTCCATAATGGTTGTACCATTTTACATGCCCACCAGCAATGAATAATAGTCCCAATTTCTCCACACCATCACCAGTATTTGTTGTTTGCTAGCCTATTGAACTTTGCTATTGTTTCTGAGAATTTTTGTTTTCTTGATGTTAAGATGTAGTTCATATTGATGGCTATAGTCTTTGATCTTCTGCAACAAGTATTTCAAGTCGTCTTCACTTTCAGCAAGAAAGGTGGTGTCATCCTCATAAGGGAGGTTGTTGATGAATCTTCCTTCAATCTTGATGCCACATTCTTTTTAAAGTCTAGTATCTTGAATGATTTGCTTAGCATACAGACTGGATAGCTTAGATAAAGGATGCAATCCTGACTCTTTTTTTTATTGGGAAAAACATTGGGGGTACAAGGAGGTGAGGGTTGGGGGCAGAAGGGTGAAGATGGACCAGGATGCAGTTGCAGAGCTGCACAGTTTGGTCGGTGGGGGGAGCAGGTGAAGGAAATAATGAGGGTCCAGAGGGAACCAGATCCTACAGAGGAATAACAAACATTTTCCAATGGTAATTAAACCAATTGTCTTATTGATTTGGGAATTGGATGCCGACTCTCTGGCTTCTTCATGCTGAACAGGGGGGTAGATGTAAAGGGGGGAAGGGACGACGCTTTATCACCTTACTGGTGGTCTTGGGTTAAAGCTGCTTGCCTTCTTGCTCTGTTAGAAGATATTTCCTGTCATTTGCTCCCCTCTGGACTGCAAAGTGTTTTCCCAGGTGGGTCCAGTGGGGATAGCTGGTTGAACCCAGA